TGTCTACCATGCTGTCTTGGGCCGTGTGAGACGAGGTTGTGGCTCAGTGGCGAAAGCAAGGAGGAGGGCGAAGATGATGAGGAGGGCGCAGAGGGACCCATGGCGGAGGATGTGGCGGGGGAGGATGGCTGCGATTCAAGAAGACGCGCCACGTAAGCGCAGTCTCATGATCAGCCTTCTAGGCATGTGCAGCTCTTGTGTGCCGCAGCGTCCTTGCGAGCCTTGCTGGCGGATCGTAGCCATGGTCCTGGAGCGCCCTTACGGGGTCTCTTGGGAACATTGTCGAACATGGCGCGGCTTCCTGGGATGCGGGCTACTCGGGGTTCTCCTGGGGGCCTCTCGGAGGCCTCTCGTGCGCATCTTGAGGTCTCCCTGGGGGCCTGTTTAGGGCCTCTTGGGAACACCTGTGGGGCCCACGGGGGCATCTTGAGGGTATTGACAATCTTGGGGGGGGGGGGGAGGGCACGTTGGATTCTCTGGTGGACGCCCTTTTGTGCCCCTCTTGAGCTGCCCCCCCCTTCCCAATCCACTTTCCCGTCCGACTCCTCTTGCCCTCGTGCTCTCCCTCCCCTTCCGATCTACCTCCCCTCGAAAGTTTGGGCCCCTTTCAATATTGAGTGTGACACATCTTCGTGGCTTTTCTTCCATTTTTCTACCCTCGAGGGTTTTTCCATACTCTCCTCACACTCCTGCGACATCCGACATTGTGGAAATAAAAAACATGACGGACGTCGGGGACGAAAGCACGACCAGAACGCCCGATCCCGTTCTTGTTCAGAATTGCTCAGGCCGTGGCTTCGAGGCTCTCGTGGCTGAACATCCGTGCTTGTCTTTGATCCCTGTTGGGGCCGTTGTGGGGCTTCTTCGGACGCCTCTGGGAGTCAGGGGCTTGCTTTGGACGCTTGTGGAGCCGTCAGAGGGCCGTCCTGTGGCCGTTTTGGGGCGGTCATGTGCCATCTTGGGGCCACACTGGAGGCCAGTTGGGGTCTCTCGGGCATGTTGGGGCCGCCGTCTGGGGTCTTGGCCGCCTGGACTCTCGGAGGCCTCTGGCGTTTACGTGGGAGCTTCCTCCCCACTCTTCCTTCTTCTCCTCTTCTCCTCCTCCTCATCCTCCTCCTCCTCGCTCCTCGTCCTTCTTCCCCCCCCTGGCGAAAACGTGGCGAATGCTAAACACGCAAAAACCACTTTGTGTCTGACGATCTTCGCCTCTGGGGGGCCTTCCGTTGGACCTTTTGGTGCCATCCTGGGCCATCCAGGGCGAGCCTTGGCCATGCAGGGCCCTTTTGGGACTATCCTGGGCTGTCGTGGCCCTGAAATCCTGGAGTTGCGATTTTTTCACAACCAGCCTTTTTGGCCCAGTTTCGGGGGCCCAGGGGCCCTCACATATCGAGCCGGCTCGAAAAATGACACCGAAAGACGGGGTTTGGAACCTTGGTCGTGATCTTCGCGATGTAGGCATTTTTTTCGCAAGGTCGGATCTCAGGGGGAGTCACCTTGGTGCCATCTGGAGCTGCCTCGAGCCTCGTTGGACCATCAGGATGCCGAGCGTCGGGTCGGGGGGCGCGGGTCAGCAGAACGCGCGGAGCTCTTCCCCTGCGTCCAGCTGCGTCACTGGCACTGCCGTCTCAGCTCATCTCCTGCCAGCCCAGAATCTGTCAAACTCGAAGCACAACAATCGGCATACGCATGATTTCTCGAAGCTCCGCGCGAACTTTGGGATCAGCGCTGGGCCCCCCTGACGGCGCCTCCGGCACCGCCCCTGGCGCTCTCCGCGCGCCAGGGAGGCGGTTCCGGCGCCGACCCAAGAAGTGTGCCTGCAAGAAGTTATGTTTGTGCAATTCTTTGTGTTCCTACAAACCCTGCCAGCGTCCTCGCAGAGGGCCCGTCGCATTGAGCCCGCTTGGCGGGAGTCACTCTGGCCAGCAGTCACGGCGACCCCCAGGCAAAACGAGCACGCAAATCCACGAAACGGAATGTTTGGGTAGGGGTGGTGATGACCTCTGGACGCTCGTTGCTGAGCATTTGGGCTTGCTTAGTTGTCCTCTTCGGGCAGTTTATTGTACAGGCATGTTGTTGAGGGTATTTCACGAGATATTGTGTAGCATCACTGCTCCTCTACCTATCTCTTGGCTCACGACGATGGCCACACACATTTTGGATTTTAAGATGGCGGTGACGGTGATGGTGACGATGACGGTGACAGTGACGATGTCGGTGATGATGCTGCTGCTGATGATGATGATAATGATGATGCTGATGCTGATGCTGATGATGACGAGGATGATAATGATGATGATGATGATGATGATGATGATGATGATGATGATGATGATGATGATGATGATGATGTTGTTCATCATGATGATGATTGTGATGATGATGATGATGATGATGATGATGATGATGATGATGATGATGATGATGATACTGATGATGACGACGACGCTGATGATGCATATTATGATGATGCTGATGGTGGTGATGAAGATGATTATCATGATGACGACGACGACGATGAAGAAGATGATGATGATGATGATGATGACGATACTGCTGATGATGATGCTGCTGAGGTTGATGCTGCTGATGATGATCATACTGACGATGCTGCTGATGCTGCTGCTGATGATGATGAGGATGTTGGTCATGACGACCAGGAGGAGGAGGACGACAACGACGACGACAACGATGATGATGATGATGATGATGATGATGATGATGATGATGCTGTTGATGGCGGTGATGGTGGTGGTGGTGGGGAAGATGATGCTGCTGCTGATGATGATGCTGATGCTTGCGATGATTATGGTGCTGCTGATGATGACGACGACGCTGATGACGATGATGATGCTGGCGACGATAACGATGACGACGACGGCGAGGATAATGAGGATGAGGATGAGGCTGACGATGATGATGCTGATGATGATGCTGATGATGATGATGATGATGATGATGATGATGACGAGGAAGACGACGTTGATGTTGATGACGATGGTTCTGATGGTGGTGATGATGATGATGATGATGGTGGTGAGGGTACTTATGATGATGATAATGAAGATGGTTCTGATGATGATGCTGCTGCTGATCGTGATGATGGTGATGCTGCTGCTTATGATGATGCTGCTGCCTATCATGCTGATGATGCTGATGATTAGGATGTTGGTGACGATGACGACGATGACGACGATGATGATGATGCCGATGATGATGATGATGATGATGATGATGATGATGATGATGATGATGATGATGATGATGATGCCGATGATGATGATGATGATGATGATGATGATGATGATGATGATGATGATGATGATGATGCTGATGCTGCTGGTGATGACGATGACGATGATAATGAGGACGATGATGATGACGATGATGATGATGATGATGCTGATGAGGATGGTGATGATGATGATGATGATGATGCTGATGCTGATGATGATGATGATGATGATGATGATGATGATGATGATGACGAGGCCGACGACGATTTTGACGATGATGCTGGTGGTGATGTTGATGATGATGTCGATGCGGAACGGTGACGGTGACGATGACGACGACGACGACGACGACGACGATGATGATGATGATGATGATGATGATGATGAGGAGGAGGATGCGAATGATGATGATGATGATGATGATGATGATGATGATGATGATGCTGACGCTGATGCTGATGGTGATGATGATGATGATGATGATGACGACAACGATGATGATGGTCACGATGACTATGACGACGATGATTCTGATGATTATGATCGTGATGACGACGACGACGATTCTGATGTTGCTGATGATGATCGTGTTTATGAGGGTAATAACGGTGATGATGGTAATTAGGCTTCTGATGATGACGCCAATGCTGCTGCTCATGATGATGCTGATGATGGCGATGATCTTGATATCAAGGAGGACGATGATGACGATGATGATTGCGATGATGCCGATGACGATAACGACGACGAGGACGACGAGAATGACGACGATGACGACGACGACGACGACGACGATGATGATGATGATGATGATGATGATGATGATGATGATGATGATGATGTTGATGGTGGTGGTGGTGGTGGGGAAGATGATGATGCTGAGGATGATGATGATGATGATGATGATGATGATGATGATGATGATGATGATGATGATGATGATGATGTTGATGTTGATGATGATGCTGATTATGCTGCTGATGATGATGATGATGATGATTACGAAGCTGATGAAGATGATAATGATGGCGACGACGATGACGACGACAAGAAGGATGACGACGTCACGTAATTTTGATACGTTTACATTACTTGTGACGACAAATGCGAACCTCCCATATGGGACAGCGGTGATAATATCACGATGGCGACTAATTGATGCTGGTGGCGGTGACGGCGATGTCAATAGCGACGAGGATGATAATGACGATGCTGCTACTGCTGTTGATGATGACGATCATTCTGGTGATGGTGACCGGCGAGGAGGAGGAGGAGGAGGAGGAGGAGGAGGAGGAGGAGGAGGAGGAGTAGGAGGAGGAGCCACAGCACTCGGAGGGCGCTACTAGCAGTCATTGCCCTCTGGCTGGGTCCCAGGGCGGCTGTTGGGGGGCCTGTTGGAGGTCACGTCCCTTCTCTCTCCATCTCTTGCCCACTCTGCCCTTCTTTCCTCACCCTTCCCCTTCAATCTCCTCTTGCGCTACTAAGGAGAAGGGCATCACAAAGAGCAGGAGGATGAGAAGATAAAGGAGGAGGAAGAGGAGGAAGAGGAGGAGGAGGAAAAGGAGGAGGAGGAAGAGGAATATGAAGAGGAGGAGGAGGAGGAGGAGGAGGAGGTGGAGGAGGAGGAGGAGGCATGGAAGAGGAGCGGAGAGGAGAGGAGAAACAGGAGAAGCCACTCCCCCTCCTTTCTCATCTTGCCCTTCTTGCGTTTCCTGCCCTACTCGCCTCCCCCTGCATCCCCCCCTTCATGCTCCTTCCCGCCCGCAGGACCTCGTCGAGGTCAAGCGCATCGGCGCCCTCGTGGGCAAGAAGGCGCCCAGCGTGTCGTCTCGCTTCCATTCCAGACGAAGATTGTCGTTGACGAGGAGGAGGAGGAGGAGGAGGAGGAGGAGGAGGAGGAGGCGGAGGCGGAGGCGGAGGAGGAGGAGGAGGAGGAGGAGGAAGAGGAGGAGGAGGAGGAGGAGGAGGAGGAGGAGGAGGAGGAGGACGAGGAGGAGGTTGAGGAGGAGGAGGAGGAGGAGGACTGCTGTGCGCGTGGGTCTTACGCTCTCGAAGTGTGCTCCCTCGACGCGCGCATGCCGTGACTTTGGTTTCGCTCGTGCCCCCCGCCCGACTACAGCAACGGCTCCCCTGCGGGGATGCTCCTGTGACTCCGGCCTTCCGACCCTCGTGAAATCCCAAGTTTTTTTTCGAATGCTTCGAGGGACGTGCACCTCCGACTCCGCACTGCTTACCTGCGTGCTTCGAGGATCCAGTACCCCCAGATCTTCCAGTTCGTTTCTTTCAGAGTGCGACCTGCTGCTGCTGCTGCTGCTGCTGCTGTCCCTCGTGCTCCTGTTTCCTCCTCTCTACCTCCCGCCTCTCCTAGCTCCTAACTCCTACCTCTTACATCCCTCCTACCTCCTCCTATCTCCTGACCCTTCTCTCCTTCCTTCATCCCCCCACCTCCTGCCTCCTCCCTCGAGTGCTGGCTCGAATTCACCGCGCGGCTGCGCGCAGCCGCCTCCGGTGCGCCCTCTCTCGCGCGCGGGGGCACCGTTGCGAACCTTCGGGTTGCAGTGGAACCCCGCTCCAGTTATCAGCACCGCGAGGGCCATCTCCAGGGCGGCTCGCTTCCTGCGACGACCGCATCTTCGACACGACGCCGAGGGCGCCCACGCTCCGCCCTCGACGCGCGCCGCTCCGCCCTCGACGGGGCACGTCCGCGCGCCCGGCTTCGGGGTTCTCGTCCTCGCCCGCCACCTCCAGGCCTGCCGGTCGCTGGGCGATGGCACTCTGCTCTGCCTCGTCGTCTCGGCCTTTGGTGTGCTCGGTCTCCATCTTCCCGGCTGTGGTGTCTCTCCAGGCAGGCCGCTCGCTGCCCGCAGCGGCCCCTGCGCTCTCCCACCTGCTTGCGTGTCTCGCCAGGGCCAGGCAGTGGACTCCGCCCCGACGTTCTGCGCCCCTCTGGACCTGGGCAGCTTCAGCTTCAAGAAGTTCAGCAGCGGGTTCCATGTGCTTCGCTTCTTCCTGGGCCTGGTGGGCTTCAGGTCGAGCTGCGCGCCTCTCGTTCATGCTGCTGTCCATCGTGCACACGCTGCTGCTACTCCCCGTGCTGGTGATCCCGTTGGCCGTGCCCTTCTCGCTGACGGTCCAGATGGTCTCCCTGGACGCGGTAAGGCCCAGGTGCCTCACAGTCACCTTGTCTGCGTGCTTGACACCGCCAGCCGCCTGAGGCCTTTGGGTATAGATTTTTGAGAGGCCACCCACCTTGCAAAGACCGGGCTGCCCACCCGCCCGCCCGCCCACCCTCCCTACGTCAGTACACAGGACTGATCCGCTAACGGTGTCCAATTCATCCTCCACTCGTTGGCACCAAACTCGTGCGAAGCAGCATGGTCTCCTCCTCCTCCTCCTCCTCCTCCTCCTCCTTCTCCTCCTCCTCCTCCCCCTCCCTCCTCCTCCTCCCCTTTCCTCCTCCTCTCCTCCTTCTCCTCCTCCCTCCTTCTCCTCCTCCTTCCTCCATCCCCTCCTCCTCCTCCTCCTCCTCCTCCTCCTCCTCCTCCCTCCTCCTCCTCCATCCTCCTCCTCCTCTCTCCTCCTCCTCCTCCTCCCTCCTCCCCCCCACCCCCTCCTCCTCCTCCTCCTCCTCTCCTCCTCCTCTCCTCCTCCCCCTCCTCCTCACTCCCCCTCCTCCTCCTCCTCCTCCTCCTCCTCCTCCCCCTCCTCCTCCTCCCCCTCCTCCATCCCTCCTCCTCCACCTCACCTCCTCCTCCTCTCCTCCTTCCCCTCCTCCTCCTCCCTCTTCTCACACCTCCTCCTCCTCCTCCTCCTCCCCTCCGCCTCCTCCTCCTCCTCCCTCTGCCCCCCTCCCCTCCTCCTCCTCCTCCTCCTCCTCCTCCGCCCCCCCACCTCCTCCTCCTCCTCCTTCCCTCCTCCTCCTCCTCCTTCTACTCCTCCTCCTCCTCTCCTCTCCCCTCCTCCTCCGCCACCTCCTCCTATCCCTCCTCCTCCTCCTCCTCCTCCTCCTCCTCCTCTCCTCCTCCCCCTCGCCCCTCCCCTCCTCCTCCTCCTCCTCCTCCTCCCCACCTCCTCCTCCTCCTCTCCTCCTCCTCCTCCTCCCCTCCCCCTCCTCCTCCTCCTCCTCCTCCTCCTCCTCCTCCTCCTCCTCCTCCACCTCCTCCCCCTCCCCCTCCTCCTCCTCCTCCTCCTCCTCCTCCTCCTCCTCCTCCCCCCCTCCCCCTCCCCTTCCTCCTCCTCCTCCTCCTTCTCCTCCTCCTCCACCTCCTCCCCTCCTCTCCTCCTCCTCCTCCTCCCCCACCACCACGCCCCCGCCGTCCTGCTGGCCACGTGCCTGCCCTACGCCCTGCCTCGTGCCCGAGGCCGCCTGCGTCTCCCGTCGCCCGCCGACCCCTCGGCGGCTGGGCGCCCTCCCTGTCCCTCGAGTCGGCCTGCCCCTCTACAGGAGGAGTATTCAGAAACAGCCAAGAAATAGCCAGGGGACGATTTCTGGACTATTCTCGGAAGCTGGAACGTATACATTACCAGTGGCGGGCTGTTTTTCAATCCCAGGATTCTTGGAGGGTCGAGGACGACGTCGGGGTGGTGTGGTGTGTACTTTTTTACCCGTTTCCCCGTGAAAACAACAACAAATGTATACACCAGGATGCCGTATACAGCAGAATCCGCTTTCTTGTGTGGATCTCAGTGCGGGACCGGAAGAAAGCATCGGTGTATAAAGTTCGGTTTTTTATATTCATCAGTTTTTTGATATATATTTTTTGATGATTTTTGTTTTTTCCTCCAAAATCCGCCTTTAGGGGGACATGCCCGACCTTTCCCCTCCGCGGCTCTCTGCCTCTCTGGCCGCCTTTGCGCTCCGTGCCCGGCGGGTCTCGCCGGTGCCGACCCTGGGCGCCGCGTACGTGGGGGGGGGGGCGATGCATGGGGGGGCAGCGAGGGCTGCACAAGAGGTGCCCTTAGGGGCCCGCCCAAGGGGGAGCTGGTGGGGCTCGAGGAGTGCACCTTTCTCCCCCCCCCCGCCCCCCCCTCCATGCGACGCCCAACGACCCCCGCGCCCGCGTCCGCGCGGCGCCGCCGAGGCCAACCGAAGACCGGCGCCGCCGAGGCAATCACAAGGAAAAAAGAACGCCTGCGTGCTGCTCGGCTTAAGTCGGGCCGGTCCCCCTACAGGGGGATATTCGACGAAAAATAAAAAACCCAAGAATACTTTAAAAAATCGTCCGAAAATAGTCGGGGGACTATCTTTTGAGTATTCTTTGCTCTTTTTGGGGGTATATTTTTATTTTTTTTTTCGGCGAAAATCCCCTCGTGGGGGGACACGCCCGACATAATGCTCGGCGGGAGCGGCCCCCAGCTTCCCCCGGGCCGCGCGGCGCCCGCAGGCCCCCCGGGGAGGGCGCCGCGGCGCGCCGCCCTCCGCCCGCGCCCGCCGGGAGGGGCCCCCTCTGGCCGCAGAGCACCAGGGGGCCCAGCAGGGCGCTGCCTCTGGCCCTCTGGACGCCCGAAACGGGTACGGAAAGAGTGGGTACAATGTCCAACAGCAGTTCCTGTTCCTTTTGAGCAGGATTCGCTGCCCACGCCGCCGCGGCCTGTGTCCATTCGAGACAGAAGGCCGCCTGCCCAACAGCGGCCGCCTGCCCAACAGCGGCCGCAGAGCACAGGGGGCCCAGCATGGTGCTGCCTCTGGCCCGTCTCTGCGGCGTCGGCAACCCTGAGATCCTGGCGACTCAAGTTTCTCGAGCCAGGCGTGTTGCGCCTCTTCTCGGGCCACGGGACCCTCACAGATCGATCCGGTTCGAAGAATGACGCAGAGAAACGGAGTCCGGGGCTCCAGGCGCGGATCTTCACGATGTTGCAATTTTTTCGCTACGCCAGATCTCGGGGAACGGAGTGCACGGCTGACTCTCAAGTCGGGCATATCCCTGTGCAGGAGTAGTGTTCAAGGATGGTTGGAGATAGCCTGGTCTGGGAGCGTTTTTTCGATGATATTGGGGCTATTTGTGATTTTTCTGATGGTTTCTAAACTACGATTTGTCTTTCAATATCTGCCTGTAGGAGGACATGCCCGACCTGACCTTGCTCGGCAGGTGTTGCTCGGCGGCGGGCCCGGGGGGGAGTGTGTGAGAAGGGGCCCTTCCAAGAGAGAAGCTCCCTGAGCCTTTTGCCGAAGACAGAGAGAGCATTTCTCAGAAGGCCAGAGGCCTTCCGAGACGCCCCCCGCCGCCTTCTGACAAGGCTTCTTCCTCCTCCTCCTCCTCCTTCTCCTCCTCCTCCTCCCCCCCCCCTCCTCCTCCTCCTCCTCCTCCTCCTCCTCCTCCTCCTCTCCTCCTCCTCCTTCCTTCCTCCTCCTCTCCTCCTCCTCCTCCTCCTCCTCCTCCTCCTCCTCCCCCTCCCCCTCCTCCTCCTTCTCCTCCCCCTCCTCCTCCTCCCCCTCCCCTCCTCCTCTCCCTCCTCCCTTGCTCCCCGGGCGCGCCGCCGAGTTGCGGCCGTCGTCCCCTTCCTCTGCCCCCCCCCTCTGCCGGGGCACAGGGGGGGTGGGCAGAGGAATTCCTGGGCCCAGGTTCTGCTGGGGGGCCCCCCAGCAGAACCTGGGCCCAGGTTTTGCTGGGGGGCTCCCCAGCAGAACCTGGGCTTAAGTCGGGCCTGTCCCTCTACAGAGGGAATCTTCAAAAATAGGAAACAATAGTCCGGGGACTATTTCTCGAGTTTTTTTAAAGCATCTTTCTGGGTATTTCTCGGGTATTTTTTAATTTTTTTCGTCCACAGTCCCCCTGCAGGGGGACAGGCCCGACCTGAGCCTGGGCCCAGCAGGGGGCGCGCCGCGCGCCGCGCGGCCGCGACCGGCGCAGCCGGCCTGCCTCCGAGCCGCCGCTCGCGAGGCTCGGGCCCCGAGTGGCTCCACCGGCCGCGCGGCCGCGGCCTGGCACGCTGGCACGGCGCCGCCTCGGCGCGCCGGTGCCACCTGGACTCAAGTCCCTCCACCTGGGCGCGCTGGTGCCACCTGTCCCTCCACAGGGGGAATACGCTCCAAGATAGTAAAAGAATAGTCTGATTCTTTGAGTATTTTTTGGGGCACCTGTTTGGAGTATTTTTGGAGTTTTTTTTTTTTTTTTTTTTTTTTTTTGTTGTTTGAACATTTTTTCGTCGAAAATCCCCCTGTGTAGGGGGACAGGCCCGACCTAAGCCTGGGCGCGCGCGGCCGCCGGGTGGCCGGGACGAGCCGCGCGGTCGCGGCCAGGTGCGTGCGAGCAGCACGGGTTAGGTCGGGCATGTCCTCCTACAGGCGGATTTTGGAGGAGAATTCAAGAATAGTCCGACAACGTACACCAAAATAGTCAAAAATAGTCGAGAAGTGGTCCCCCGACTATCTTTTTGAGTATTTTAGAATGTTCCTCCTGTAGGGGGACATGCCCGATTCAAGCAAGGGCGCCCTCGAGGGCACGAAGTTGCCCGCGTTTCGCGCTTCGCGGTTCGGCGCCAGTTCCTCCTCGCCCTCATTTCCCTTGGGAGGGCGGCGTGAGAGCGCGAAGTTTTTCGCGCTTCGCGCTTCGCGCAGCGCGAGGCGCGAAGTTGGGCGCCCTTGGAGCAAGCCGCCGCTTGGGCTCGCCGCTGCTACAGGCCGCCCTGCTCTTTTGCCGATTGGGGGCGCCGTCCGTGATGTGAGCTGTGCTGCGCTTGAGTCGCCCCTTCCCCCTGCCTCTCTTCCTCTCCTCCCCCCCTCCTTGCTTGCTGGCACTCCTCCTTCCCATGGCATGATCGAGTGCAAGGCTGGGAGAGGTCTGAGCGACGCAGGCGGGATTCCCCACTGGTCGCCTCGTTGGGCGCTGCTGGCTGCAGCTGGTGCGGAGGAAGGCCCTGCCCAGCTCAGCTTCACGGAGGGGACCCCTGCCCGGCCCTACCCGTGTGTTCGACACGCTGCCTTCTCCAGGCAGGCCCAGCCGACCAACCTCCCCTCCCTCCCTCCGGCTCCACTTGCCCTCCGCCCCGCTCCCTGCTGGTGCTGCCCCCCCGCCCCTTCGAAGCAGCGCCCTAACAAAAGAGCGCGAGGCCCTCGGCATCCTGGGCAAGGCCTCCTCGGCGGCGAAGGCTCGCGCCCCGCCCCCCGCGCCGAGCCGCCACCCGCCTCCCCGTCTGTGGGGCGCACCCGCTCTCGCGCCCCGCGGCGGTCGGGCGCTGTCCGGCGGCGGCGGGCACGCGCGAACGGCAGCGGGCGGCGACGACTGCGGCGGCGGCGGCGGCGACGACGGCGGCGGCGGCGGCGGCGGCGGGAGTCAGGAGAGACAAATGCACGTCGGTCGTTGAAGGTAGGTATTGCCCAACCCTCCTGTGGTGTTGGGTACTCGTTTTGAACAGCGCAGCGTGGTCTCCAACTCCTCCTCTCCTCCTCTCCTCCTTCTCTCCTGTCTCCTGTGTTCCCTTCTCCTCTTCCCTCGTGTTGTCTGCGATCTGCGCAACTGTCGCCACTTTCGTGGGCTCCTGGGAGGTCCAGCGGAGGTACGTCCCACGCGGATCACCTCGGTACCTCGCCGCCCCCTGGGGGGCTTGCGATCTGCGCAACTGTCGCCTTTTTCGTGGGCTGCTGGGAGGCCCAGCGGAGGTACGTCTTGCGATCTGCGCAACTGTCGCCTTTTTCGTGGGCTGCTGGGAGGCCCAGCGGAGGTACGTCCCACGCGGATCACCTCAGTACCTCGCCGCCTCCTTGGAGGATGGCGATCTGCGCAACTGTCGCCTTTTTCGTGGGCTGCTGGGAGGCCCAGCGGAGGTACCTCCCACTCGGATCACCTCGGTACCTCGCCGCCCCCTGGGGGGCTTGCGATACGCGCAACTGTCGCCACTTTCATGGGCTGCTGGGAGGTCCAGCGGAGGTACGTCCCACGCGGATCACCTCGGTACCTCGCCGCTCCTTGGGGGGCTTGCGATCTGCGCAACTGTCGCCACTTTCGTGGGCTCCTGGGAGGTCCAGCGGAGGTACGTCCCACGCGGATCACCTCGGTACCTCGCCGCCCCCTGGGGGGCTTGCGATCTGCGCAACTGTCGCTACTTTCGTGGGCTGCTGGGAGGCCCAGCGGAGGTGCGTCTTGCGCTCTGCGCAACTGTCGTCATTTTCGTGGGCTCCTGGGAGGCCAAGCGGAGGTGCGTCCCACGCGGATCACCTCGGTACCTCGCCGCCCCCTAGGGGGCTTGCGATCTGCGCAACTGTCGCCACTTCGTGGGCTGCTGGGAGGCCCAGCGGAGGTACGTCCCACGCGGATCACCTCGGTACCTCGCCGCCCCCTGGGGGGCTTGCGATCTGCGCAACTGTCGCCACTTTCGTGGGCTGCTGGGAGGCCCAGCGGAGGTACGTCTTGCGATCTGCGCAACTGTCGCCACTTTCGTGGGCTGCTGGGAGGCCCAGCGGAGGTACGTCCCACGCGGATCACCTCGGTACCTCGTCGCCCCCTGGGGGGCTTGCGATCTGCGCAACTGTCGCACCTTTCGTGGGGCTCCTGGGAGCCCAGCGGAGGTACGTCCCACGCGTATCACCTCGGTACCTCGCCGCCCCCTGGGGGCTTGCGATCTGCGCAACTGTCGCCTTTTTCGTGGGCTCCTGGGAGGCCCAGCGGAGGTACCTCCCACGCGGATCACCTCGGTACCTCGCCGCCCCCTAGGGGGCTTGCGTTCTGTACAACTGTCGCCAGTTTCGTGGGCTGCCCAGCGGAGGTACGTCCCACGCGGATCACCTCGGTACCTCGCCGCCCCCTGGGGGGCTTGCGATCTGCGCAACTGTCGCTACTTTCGTGGACTGCTGGGAGGCCCAGCGGAGGTACGTCCCACGCGGATCACCTCGGTACCTCGCCGCTCCTTGGGGGGCTTGCGGTCTCCGCAACTGTCGCCACTTCCGTGGGCTCCTGGGAGGCCCAGCGGAGGTACGTCCCACGCACCTGGGTACCTCGCCGCCCGCGGGGGGGGCTTGCGATCTGCGCAACTGTCGCCACTTTCGTGGGCTCCTGGGAGGTCCAGCGGAGGTACGCTCCATGCGGATCACCTCGGTACCTTGCCGCCCACTGGGGGGCTTGCGATCTGCGCAACTGTCGCCACTTTCGTGGGCTGCTGGGAGGCCCAGCGGAGGTACGTCTTGCGATCTGCGCAACTGTCGCCACTTTCGTGGGCTGCTGGGAGGCCCAGCGGAGGTACGTCCCACGCGGATCACCTCGGTACCTCGCCGCCCCCTGGGGGGCTTGCGATCTGCGCAACCGTCGCCACTTTCGTGGGCTGCTGGGAGGCCCAGCGGAGGTATGTCCCACGCGGATCACCTCGGTACCTCGCCGCCCGCCCCCTGGGGGGCTTGCGATACGCGCAATTGTCGCCACTTCCGTGGGCTCCTGGGAGGCCCAGCGGAGGCAAATCCGACGAGTTGACTGGGTGCTCCTGCTTATCCTCCAGGCCGCGACCTTTTGCTTCCACTTTTGGTTTCTTTTCTTTGGGTTCGCTGCCGCGCCCTTTTGTCTCCACTTATGGGTGAGTCTCCGCCCCCGTTATGCACCTCATGCATTTGCCTCTTCAGCGCAGCGCGTTGCTGAGCTAAACCGATGTTCTGGTTTAACCCTCGCCGAACCCCGCTTCTGTGTTTCTTTCAACGCCCTCGTGCTTCCATTTTGTATGTTTGCTGTTCCTCTTCTTGATGCTCTCTTCTGATTTCACTCCTGAGTGCTCTTCTTGCGCACTGCGGGTCCTTCAGAATGCCAGTCAGCATTGAGTGGTCCTGAATATAAGCGCCACGTGTATAAAAAGGGTTGGGTACGTCGCAGGGTAATTTTTCGGGCGACGAAATCTATACATATCCACTGCTCCCTGGCCAGGCCCATCCTGAACCCATGAGCTTTGTATATTCCCTCCTGGCCAAGCCAGGAGGGCGAGGCGAATATACCGCTGCTGGATTCAGGATGGGCCTGGCCAGGGAGCAGTGGATATGTATCGATTTCGTCGCCCTCTTATTTGGATTCCCAGATCTCAATCAGCTTCAAGTACCCTCCTGCTTCAAGAGGCGGCGTGCTCTCTTTTTTGCGTTTTGTGATTCCCCCGGAGCGCCTGAACCCAAACTTGCTTCATCCGCCCTTTGCTTCATGTTTTCACCTCCTTCTTCCCGCCGACGTGTAGACACAGACACACACATATCGACGTCGATCTCCATGAGGATGTGGGGCAGCAGGAAGAATGGGGAAGGCGAACATCCAGGAGACGTGGAGAAAGATGGTGGAGTCCTGGAATTTGTGCCTCCCTGGGCCCCCTTTCCAGGGGGGCTCCCGCTGACGGCCGAGAGGGCGGGCCCCGAGTGCACCCCTTGCGCAGTGCGTTGGGCGGAGGGGCGGGTGGGGAGAGGCTACTCCGGGAGCCCCTGGACGGTCACCCGCGGTCCGCCTGGCGGGGTCTCGGGCCCTCGGTGGTCGACTATTCGTAAGAGTGCCTTCGCCGGCGTGACCTCTGGTGCGGGCTCATCGGGGCCCCCCGATCGCTGAGCGCGACACGGTAGCGTCTGCCTGCGCGCCTGGATTTGGCCACATTGCGCTCTCTGATTCAACCCGCGCGCCAAGGGTCACTCTTGCCTTCTGTCACTCTTGCGTGTAGCCGGGGTGGGCCCAGCTCAGAGGACGCCAGGTACGGCAGGTTCGCGTCGTGCCGACCGGTGGCGACCCCGCCGCCGGCGTTCCACGTCGAACGCCGCCGGCGACCCAGATTTGGCCGACGCTGAACGATCGGAAATGGCCGATCGTAGAAAAAGACCAACAGGCACGAACACTCTGATGGCGGTCCGCGCGGATTGCTCGGATCACCGCTGGCCCCCCCTGGTGGCGCCTCCGGCGCCGCCTCTGGCGAGGTCCGACCGCCAGGGAGGGGGTCCAGCGCGCATCCACGAAGTCTGCGCGGATCTCCAAGAGTTTTCGTTTATTACGGGGCCCAAGGACACACACCAGCACCATCTTCCTCGGCCCCTCCCTCGCCCAGGAATAGAGGAGGGGAAGAAGAGGGTGGAGGATGAAGGGGGAATGGAGGTGGCGATGGTGTACACTCTTGGGTCTCGCATCCATGTCGTTTTCTGTTGCTCTTTCTTCGGGAGGGGAAAAAGCACACAGACACAATTACTCGTCGATTCCCCAGAAAATATGGGAAACTATGGGAAGTGGGGGGGGGAAGGCAGAAGCCCAGAAAATATGGGGTAATATTGAGAATCCATTTATTTGTGCCTATCTATTTGCGTGTCCCTGGGCCCCCTCATTTCTGAGGATGCCAGATGTGCACCTGTGCCGATCTCGGCCAGGTCGGTCCCGGGCCCCCGATCGGTGCAGGACGCCGTCCTCCTCCTCCTCCTCCTCCTCCTCCTCCTCCTCCTCCTTCTCCTTCTCCTCCTCCTCCTCCTCCTCCTCCTCCTCCTCCTCCAGGGTTGCGGGGGAGGGGGAGGCACCTGCGGCGTGCGAGTCTCGGTCGGGGTGGCGCTGGCCCTGCCGCGGGCGACCACCAAGGACGCCCCCCGTTCCGCGGACGGCTCGTACCCACGACGACGACGACTACGACGAGGACGACGACGACGAAGACGACGTCGACGAGGACGATGACGACGACGCGGACGACGACGAAGATGACGACGCCTTCGCCGACGACGACGACGACGGGCACCGTACACCGTTAGCGTCTCCCGAGGCGTCGTCAATCCTCGACCCAGGCGTGCTACGGGGCATCGGTTTCCGGCCCTCCGAGCCGAAAAACTGGTGCGGTGCAGGGGCGCCGTTCTCGCGTCCGTGCCTTTGCCTCCCCCTGCTTTTCTCTCTCGTCCAGGCGTCCGCCACGGAGGACGCCTTGAAGGCGATCCTCAAGTCCGTGGACTCCAAGCTCGCTGACAACTCCGTCCTGGTTGACAAGCTCAAGAACTGGAAGCGCAGCTGAAGCGGCAGAGAGGCGCGGCCTTTTTTTGGGGGGGCTTCCCGAGTCGGTTGCGCTCGCTCGGCAGCTATCTTCGTTGCTGCCCGAGGCTGTTTCCTGGGGCTGCGCGGGGCCTCACTGTGCACCTCGACCCTCAGGTCGTGCTTGCTAAATGGCAGAGGAGCTGCGTCGGGCTCGGTGTCGGCGTGGTTTGTGGAGCGGAGCCCGGTCTGACCCCGATCGCGACAGCAGCGTGTGTGTGTGTGTGTGTGTGTGTGTGTGTGTGTGTGGGCAGGGGCCGAGCGGAGCGGGACGGAGGAGCGGCCAATCCTCCTCCTCCCCCTCCTCCTCCTCCTCCTCCTCCTCCTCCTCCTCCTCCTCCTCCTCCTCCTCCTCCTCTCTCCTCCTCCCCCCCTCCCCTCCCCCTCCCCCTCCTCCCCCTCCGCCTCCTCCCCCTCCGAGGCTGCCCTTCTCTCGGCCGCTGGCCCCCTCGCGTGTCGGTGCCCCTGCCCTCCCCCCCCCCCCCCTGGCGCGCACGTACGCGCGCGCGTGCGTCGGTGCCCGTGCCGGTGCTGGCGCGCCTGCCTGCGCCAGTGCCCGCACGCCGTGCCCCGTGGCTCCGCACCCCGAGGCTCGAGTCGGGCAGGTCCTACGGACGGGCCTGGCTTCCACCACCACCACCGCAGGTTGGAGGGGGGGGAGGAGGAGGAGGAGGAGGAGGAGGAGGAGGAGGAGGAGGAGGAGGAGGAGGAGGAGGAGGAGGAGGAGGAGGAGGAGGAGGAGGAGGAGGAGGAGGAGGAGGAGGAGGAGGAGGAGGAGGAGGAGGAGGAGGAGGAGGGAGGAGGAGAGGAGGAGGAGGAGGAGGAGGAGGAGGAGAGGAGGAGGAGGAGGAGGAGGAGGAGGAGGAGGTGGAGGTTGTGGTCGGAGGAGGAGGAGGAGGAGGAGGAGGAGGAGGAGGAGGAGGAGGAGGAGGAGGAGGAGGTGGAGGAGGAGGAGGAGGACGAGGAGGAGAGGTTCGAGGAGGAGGAGGAGGAGGAGGAGGAGGAGGAGGAGGAGGAGGAGAAGGAGGAGGAGGAGGAGGACCCCCTCCCCCTCCAACTTATGTTGGTGGTGGTGGTTGTGGTGGTGGTGGTGGAAGACAGGCCCATCATCCCTCTACAGGAGGAAGATATTCTGACACAGTCTTTGGTTGAAAGAAGTCCGGGGACGATGTTTCTGGACTATTTTGGAGTATTTTTGGATTTGTTTTGAGGGTATTTGTTGTTTTTCGTCCAACGTCCGCCTGTGGGGGGGCATGCCCGACCTGACCCGAGGCCTGTGCCTCTGTGGACAGTTGCATCATCAATTCCCGATGCCCTTCCTCCGGTTCTCTCGATGGTCCTCAAGACGTGTGGTTGCCCTGCTCAGATCCGCCGATAGTACGCCGCCTGCTCTGGCCCTCATTCCACCGCCGGCGTCGTGCTGAAGGGCCTCGGTGGACAAGCACACGTTGACGTCAGCACACGGTCTGAGGATCATCGCTTGAGGAGGCCTCACGGCTGGTGCCGCCGACTCTGAAGGCTGACGCTGACAGTCGCGCCTCGCGCCTCGCGGTCTTCGCGCCTCGCAGACACACCACGCTCACTTGAGTTGCTACCACACGAGCCTGGGCGTTGTTGACAGATCCTCCCTCCCACTGGCGTCGCGAAACCGTCCGCCCCCGCCCAGGGGAGACGAGGACGAGGGAGGGCGGCGGCGGCGGCGGCGATGACGACGATGGCGACGCGTGTGAGGGTCTGGAGGGATTCTTCGTGGGGTGTCTGGAGCGCTGTCGGGAACGTTTGGCGGGCAGGTTTGGGGCCTTCGTGGGGCCCTTTGGGGGCAGCTCGAGCGACTCTTGAGGGCCTCTTGGGGCTTCCCAGAGGCCTCGTGGGGGCCTCTTGGGGGCCTCTTGGGGCCTCCTGGGAGCTTCTCTGGGCCGAGGAGCCTCTTGGGCCGTTTTGGCCATCTTGGAAGCCTCTTGGGGGCCTCTTGGGGCGATCTTGGGGGCATCACGGGCCGTCTTGAGGCGTCGGGGAGCCGAAAAGGGGAGAGCGCGCAAATCTGTCCTCAACCCGGGGGACACCATCGAATTTGGTCTGTTGGGGTCCTCCTGGTGTGCTCTCGGAGGCCTCTTCGAGCAGCTTGGAAGTCTCCTGGGCCGTCAGGAGGCCATGTTGGGCGTTTTGGGCCCAGCGCTCGGCGGTTCGGGGCTCCCCTTGGACCGTCTCGGGGGCCTCTCGTGGGGGCACTCCTGGGCCGCCGTGGCGTGTGGGCTCTGGGCCCCGTGGGGGGGACGGCGCTCTCGGACCCCGGACCTCCCCTCGCCGCCCCCCCTCGGGACCCGCCCCCCCCCCCCCGCCCTTCCCCGCGTCTTTTCGGCTCGGTGCTCGACGCTGCCGAGTTCTTCGCTTCGGCCGTCGCGCTCGAGGGGGAGTGGCTCCAGGGCAGGCCCCCGCGGGGAGAGGAGGCGGAGCGGCGGCGGCGGCGGCGACGAGGCATCGCACGGAGCGGCGGCTCGCACACGCCGGCGTGGCTTCGGCTGATTTTTTCGCCCTCCGGGGGTCTGCGAGAGTGGCCCCCGTCGCCACGGCAGGATTCGCCTATGGGAGGCCTGGTCGGGGCGCGCCCCGGGAGGAAGTCAGGAAGCCCAGGGAGCAGCGGCATCGGTGCAGTCAAAAATCCTAGTAAGGACGCGCGACTCTGCTCAGGGTACCCTTGCGTCCTTGCTCTTCCTTGCTCTTGCGTCCTTGGGGTTTTCGTCGTCCGCCGCCCCAGAAATCCCAACTTCGGCTTCCAAGGGTCTTGCGTCCTTACCGCGCGTCCTTATTAGGGTTTTTGACTGTATCTGACTGCTCCCCCAGTGCCCCGTACAGTCAACCCGCATAGTAAGGATGGGCACCCTTCCCAAGGGTACCCTTGCATCCTTGCCTCCTCGGTCCATACTCGGCTACTTTCGCTGGCCGCGCCCCGCTAGAAGAGCTTCGAACTGGGCGTCCGAGGCCCTCTCATCCTTATCGCGCATCCTGATGATACGGGCCGACTTTAGCTCCTCGTTCTGCCCGTCTCCGAACCCACACCAGCTCCCAGACCGCGCCCCACATCCACGCTCGTGCACCCAGACCCCGACGTCGTCATTTTTTCACAACGTCGAGCCCCAGAGGTCTGGACCCCTTCCCCGGGACCCGTTTCTTCTCATCCTGAGCCGTGTTCTGACGGTCCCGAAGCCCGGGAAGGGCCCCCGGAGGCTGAGAACAGCGAAAAACCGCCCGTCGCGATCTATTCACAGCGCCGCGAGGGGGGTTTGGGTGCTCTTCGTGCTGCCCGTCTCCGCCCCGAGACGACGAAGATGACGACGACGACGACGACGACGACGACGACGACGACGACGGCGGCGGCGGCGGCGGCGGCGGCGGCGGCGACGACGGCGACGACGCCGACGACGAAGAGGACGGCGACGACGACGACGACGCCCCACACCCATGCTCGTGCGCATTGTCCGTCTCCGCACCCGCCTCCTCTCGCCTCGGCCCCAGGCGCGAGGGCCAGCGAGCGGGGGAGCCCCATCTGGGCACGAGCACGTCCTGCCATACCCCTGCCCAGGGCTCATTTTGATGTCTCAGATTCGGTTCGATTCGATTTCGATGGCCTCCGATTCCGATTCGATTCGACTCCGGATTCCGATTTGGGGTCCGATTTCTCGATGGAGGCCTGTTAGCCTGCCGATTTCTGCCGATTCGACGTTTCCCGACTCGGCTGCCGATTGCCGCCGATCCGGTTCAATTCGATCGCCGATCCGACTTCTCGATTCGATTCTGGGCTCTCCTGCCTGCCCAGTCTTAAGTCGGGCATGTCCCTCTGCAGGAGGAATGTTCAAGAATATTTCAAAATTAGCCCGTGGACAATTTTTCGACTATTTCTGATCATGTTCGAGTGCTGTTTGGCCATCTTTCATTTTTCGTCCAGAATGCGCCTGCATGGGGGACCAGCCCGACTTGAGCCCAGTCTTGCCGTGCTGTGCCAGAGGGAGGAGGTCACGGCCACCCGAAGAAATAAGGCGGCCTCCAGAGTGCTCGACCACGTCATGCACGGCACGGTGCACCTCCCGCGAGAGAGCATATCCGATGTTTTTTTTTCGTTTCGACCAGAGCAGGGTGCTCGTTGGCATGCGACGCCCCATTTTGGGACCCTTGGCTCGTGGTTGAATCCGATGCGGTGCTCTTCTCCCTTTCGATGGCTCTGCCAGCGGAGGCGCCGCCTTTGCTGCCACTGCCTCGCGCACGCGTGCTGTGTATTTCAAGGGCGCCGACCATCTGCGCCTTTTTTAGGCCAGGCGTAGTCTGGCCTCTCCGCCGGACTGGTTGTGCTGCTGATGCAGGCAATCTGGCCAGGCCACCATCGTTTGGTGTGCACACCTGTAGACCTGTGGCGAAGAAGCCTCGCGCGGAGGCAGAAAGCTGCGGGGAGCAGTCGTGGCGTGCGGGAAGGCCAGCGACGGGCCCTGTCGAGGGCACCCCAGCCTCCTCCCCCTCCTCCCTTCTGCTCTCCCTGCGCCTCCGCCGTGCCCTGTCCCTTGCCGCGGCTCTCTTCCTCCTCCTCCTCCTCCTCCTCCTCCTCCTCCTCCTGCCACGCTTCCTCCTCCTGCCACGCTTCCTCCTGCTGCTCTCCGCGGGTTGCTTCCTGGAGTTTTGGCAGGCTGAGCTTCTTGCCACACCGTGGGCATCAGGAAGTTCCAGCGAATTCCTCCTTCCCGCCGCCGCCGCCGCCGCCGCGACCGCCGTCGTCGTCGTCGTCGTCGTCGTCGTCGTCGTCGTCGTCGTCGTCGTCGTCGTCGTCGTCGTCGTCGTCGTCGTCGTCTTCGTCCTCCGCCCCCGCGCCCACTTCTCTCCCTTCGTAGCCGCCCTTGGCCCAGGGGAGGCACACGCCAGGGTGCGGGCCGGTGCGGAGGCTCGGGGTCGCCATGTTGGAGTGCCTGGCGGAGGGCCACGTGGAGGCCACCCTGCTGGGCATGGTCGACTGCGGGCCGCCGCGCGCCCTCGAGGCCGCCCTGCTCGACCTGCGGGCCTGTAGCCGGGCGTGGCGCGAGCAGGCGAGGCCCCGCCTGTTGAGGCAGAGCGCCGAGCAGCTGGGCTGCGCGGACGCCGACGCGCGGCTGGCGGCGCTGGCGCTCCTGACGGCGGCCGCGGACAGCGCTGGCGGCTGGGAGGGCGGGCTGCCGCAGGCGGTGGGCGTCGCCGCCACGGCGGTGGCCTGCAGGGTCCGCGGCATGCTGCGGGACGACGACCCCGACGTGCGGAGGGCGGCGCTGCGCTGCGTGCTGCGCGTCTGCGCCCCGTGGGGCGACGAGGCCCCCGCGGCCGCGGCCCGATGCCTGGGCGACCCGCACTGGCCCGTGCGATGGGCCGCCGTTGGCGCGGTGGCCCACGTCGGGGCCTCGGCGCCCGACGGCGGCGCCAAGGCGGCCGGCCTCCTGGCGGCCCGCCTGCGCGACCGGGAGTGGCCCGTGCGGCGCGCGGCGGCGGCGGCCCTCGAGGCGCTGGCGCTCGACGCCGCGGCCCCCGCCGCGACGGCGGCGGACGCCGCGGCCCACCTGGGGGAGCTGCTGCTGCAGGACCCCGAAGAGGAGGTGCGCGTGGCGGCCGTGGGCGGCCTGGCGCGCCTGCACGCGGCCTGTGGGGACGCCGCCGGCGTCGCCGCGGTGGGCGCTGCGCTGGAGGACGCTAGCGCGCAGGTGCGCCTCGCCGCCGTGGGCGCCGTGTGGCAGCTGGCCCGGCCGGGCTGCGCGTCGGGGCAGGCGCTGCTGCGTGCGCGCCTGCGGGACGACGACCAGCAGGTGCGGCGTGCCGCCGAGCGCTGCCTCGGCCTCCTCAGTCGCCCCTGAGTCCGCGCCGCGCCGGGCCCTGGCACTCGGGGTTGCCCTCCGCGCGTGGCCGGCGCGCGCAGGGCAAAGTCTTGCACCCCCTGGAGGGCGGTGCCTCCTCCTCCTCCTCCTCCTCCTCCTCCTTCTCCTCTGTGTGGTCGTGATCCTTCATGGGAGCTGTAGAGGGTGCCACAGTTGGGTTCATTTGGCTGCAGACATCTTTCCATTTTTGATCACATGTGGTTGCCCAGTTATATATTGCGAAGTGTAACATGTACATTACCAGTGGCGGGTTGTTTTTCAATCCCACGACTTTTTGAGGGTCAGGGACGACGTCGGGGTGGTGTGGTGTATACCTTTCCCCCGTTTCTCGAGGGAAACAACGGAAAATGTTTACACCAGGGTCCCGTATACACCAGAATCCGCGTTCCTGTGCGAATTTCAGCGCAGGGTCGGGAAAAGCGTCGGTGTATAGAGTTTGTTTCCCTATTATAAGCTCAGAGGGTCATCCCTATCTCTGCCCCTATCTTCCTAGAGTGTCCGCCGCCTTACAGTGCCATTTTTAATACATGCTCCGCGTGCGGATCATGTGTTAAAAATGCAGGGATTTAGCATTAAAAACAACGATGAGTTCATGCACAACTTTATTCATACATTAATCATATATTAAACATCATATTTTTGAAACAATGTCCTATGTATAAAAAAAAACTGCCCTGTAGGGTCATCCCTATCTCTGCCCCTATCTTCCTAGGGTGTCCGCCGTCTTATCCTTCTAAGTGCCACGCAAGTGCTGCGGACTTCGAGGCGCGCGGCGGGCACCTCACTGGCTTATCGATTAGAATTCTGTCACAGTCCGTCACGGTGCTGCCGGAGTTGGCCCTTAGGCTTCGATCTCCGAGCGAGCGTCACGACCACCCCAGACATCAGTTGAGAGTCCAGACGGCTTCTCCTCCCATCCTCCTTTCGTTCCTCTCTCCCTCCTCTCTTCCTCTCTTTCTCTTGTGCTGCCTTCCGCACTTCTCTTCAAGCCGTCCGCCCTTTCCTTTCTTCTCCCCCTCTCACATCCCCTTCTCCCCCTCCCTCTCCCCGACCCCAACACCCGTTCCGCCCTCCCCCCTGCCCGCCTACAGTGGGGGCCCATGCCAAGAAACACCCTGATTGCCTCCAGGGTGCCCTGGGTTTCTTGAGTTTCGATGGCTTTGCCACGGAAAGCGTGACGTTGCCACAACAGACATCGACGGACGTCCTGGGGTCTCGGGGTGGGGCCTCTCGTGGAAGGCCTCCCGTGGTCGGGCCCCTGCTGCTGCGCCCCCTCTCCTGCTGCCCGCCCGCCTCCGCCCGCCGCCCCCCCCCTCCGCTCGGCTGCCCTGCCCTGCCCTGCCCTGCCCTCTTGCCTCCTGCCCCATGGTGCCTCTCTCCACCCCGCCGCGCACCTCACTCCTCCTGCCGCCCTCCGCCGCCGCCCGCCTGCCGCTCCCCCCCCCCCGCCCCTTCCGCGCGTGCGCCCGGCGCCGCGGCTCGAGACCGGCGGGGGCCGTCTCGTCCGGCGGGGCCCGGTGCTGCGCCCCCGAGCGGCCTCGGCCAGGACCGGTCCGCGGCGCCTGCCTGGCCGGGTCGTGGCGTCGCCTGGCCGTGCCGATCCTCCCTCGTGGGCCCCTCATCTCCTCCCCGGCTTCGCCTCTCAAGGTCCCTCCCCGCATCTGGGGGCCATCCTTTCCTGCTCGTTTTCTCCTCCTTATCGCCATCCTCGTCCTCGTCCTCGTCGTCGTCCTCGTCCTCGTCGTCCTCCTCCTCCTCCTCCTCCTCCTCCTCCTCCTCTTCCTTCTCCTCCGTCTCCACCTTCTCCACCTTCTTCTCCTCCTCCTCCTCCGCCTCCTCCTCCTCCTCCTTCCAGAGATTGCCAGCTCTTGCGCTCCCTCTCACTCCGCCTCGTTGCCCATCTCGGCGGTAAATATCCAGACGCCCGCGCGCCAGTCTTTTGGGCCCTTCGCAAGGGTTCCAGAGAACCGCAGGATGGGGACCGTTTCAACCAATCATTCGTTATATTGCGAAGGCCTTACGGCTGGTGCCGCCGACCCTGAAGCGGGACGACGACGATAGCGATGACGGCGGCGGCGGCGGCGACGGCGACGACGCCTTGGCCTCTTGGGGCCAGCTCGGGGGTGCTCTTGTGGGTCTCTTGGACCTCTTGTGTGCCTCTTGGGGGATCCTTGGGTGCTTCTGGGGGTCTTCTCTTGGGGCCAGCTTGGGGGTGCTCTTGTGGCTCTCTTGGACCTTTTGGGTGCCTCTTGGGGGCTCCTTGGGTGCTTCTGTCGAAGCCTAGGCGGATTTGTTCGGTCGACATCTGTTCCCAATCAGATTTGTTTGGTCGACTTCTGTTCTTGGAGGCGCGATCGCAGCAACAGGTGTTTTGAATACCGGCAGCTCCAGCCTGACCGAACCATCCAGAGCATCTCTTGCAGGCCTTGCCTGAGAGAGGCCGATCACGGTAGCCTCGGCGAGTCGAGGAAAAAATGTACCCCGATTCCATGTTTGCGCTCTTCGTGATTGCTGCTCCCATCCTGGGTGCTTCTGGGGGCTCTCCTGGAGGCCTCTTGGAGCCCGCCGTTTCTTGTCCCCCGCGTGCGCAGCGTGCCTCGCTCCGCAGACGCTGGCGGAGGCCGCACCGGCAGACCCCGAGCCCTCGGACCGCCGGCGAGCCACGCCGAGCCCGACGCGGGAGGGCTCGAGCGCGGTCGGCCGCCGCGGCTCTCCTCGAGGCACGGCCCGAGGGCGGACAACGGGCTGATCGCCTCGATGCTCGAGGTGTTGTCCTCGCTTGCGTTTTTTTTTGTTTGTTTGTTTGTTTGTTTTTTGTTTCTTCTTCTTTTGCCTTTGTTTTTTGGTTCCTTGCTCGAATCAGTGAGCCCGTAGCGTCTGCTGCGGAAGGCGCCCCTCCTCCTCGGAAGCAAGACCCTGTACAGTGCCAGTGGCGGGCTGTTTTTCAATGTCAGAATTCTGGAGGGTCGGGGACGACGTCGGGGTGGTGTGGTGTATACTTGTTCCCCCGTTTTCCTGGGAAACAGCGAAACATGTATACACCAGGATCCCGCATACACCAGGATCAGCTTTCCTGTGCGAGTTTCACTGCAGGGCCGGAAAAAGCGTCGGTGTATAGAGTTCGGTTCTCTACCTTCCCGCCTTTCCGTAACAGTACCGAGCGCACGCGGGGGGGGGACGCAGTTCCCCCCAACGGGCGTGGCGCGGTGCTCACATGCATGCTGGGGTCTGGACAGGCATGCTCTGGTGCTCACGAGTACGCTGTGCCGCTCCGCTCGCAGGCCCTCCCCCCCCTTCTCCCCCCCGTAGCGGACGTGACGGGGTGAGAGCCACTCACCAAAACAAGCCATCGCCTCCACCTTGTCGAGGGTCGTCGAAGGCCTCTGCGGAGGGTTTTTTTTGGTGCGCTTCGGTCTCTTGGCCCCTGGGGGCCTTCCGGGCGGGATGTCCAGGCGCGTGGTCGAGGGCGGAGAGGGATGGTCACGCTGAAGGGCTTCCTGGCAGAGGCAGTCGAGCAGCGACCTGTGCGCAGTCTGGGCTGGCCCCGCGGCCCCTCTTGGGCCATCGCTGGACCCCTGCGGGGTGCCCCCTTTGGGCCCCGGCCTGGGGCTCAGCAGGGCCGCCTCGGGAGTCTCTTGTCCGTCCTGGGTCCTGGGTCGCCGTGGGGCCCCCCTGGGCTGCGTTTGGACACTCTGCTCCACCTCTCCCCCCCTACCCCGCCACTGGAGGAGGAGGAGGAGGAGGAGGAGGAGGAGGAGGAGGAGGAGGAGGAGGAGGAGGAGGAGGAGGGGAGGAGGAGGAGGAGCGGAGGAGGCGGAGGAGGCGGAGGAGGAGGAGGAGGAGGAGGGAGGAGGAGGAGGAGGAGGAGGAGGCGGAGGAGGCGGAGGAGGAGGGGAGGCGGGAGGAGGCGGAGGAGGCGGAGGCGGAGGAGGAGGAGGAGGAGGAGGAGGAGGAGGATGAGGAGGGCGGAGGAGGCGGAGGAGGCGGAGGAGGAGGAGCAGGAGGAGGAGGAGGAGGAGGATGAGGAGAGGAGGGGGAGGAGGAGGAGGAGGAGGAGGAGGAGGAGGAGGAGGCGGAGGAGGAGGAGGAGGAGGCGGAGGAGGCGGAGGAGGAGGAGGAGGAAGAGGAAGAGGAAGAGGAAGAGGAAGAGGAGGAGGAAGAGGTAGAAGAGGAAGAGGAAGAGGAAGAAGAAGAGGCAGAGGAAGAGGAAGAAGAGGAAGAGGAATAGGAAAATGAATACTCACAATACTAAGAGGAAGCTGAAGAGGAAGAAGAGGAAGAGGAAGAGGAAGAGGAAGAGGAATAATAAGACGAATCATAAGCATACGACTAAGAATAAAACTAATACGAATAAGAATATTAATAAGAAGACTAATGATAATACTATTAATATTAATACTATTAATACGAAGAATATGAAGAATACGAATAATACTAATACTAATAGGAATATTGATACGAATAATAATAATAATAATATGGAGAACAATACTAATACTACTAATACGAATAATAAGAATAATAAGAATAATATTAATAATCAGAATATTAATACTAGTAAGCAGAATAATAAGACTAATACTAATACCACTAAGAATAATACTACGAATACT